AAAAAAAAAAAAAAAAAAAAAAAAAAACTTCAAAGAATGTTATTAATTAATACATTGTGTACTATTATCTTAAAAGAATGTCCAAAGTTAGAGTACAAGTCATAGACAAAAAAAAAACTTACAAAAAAGAAACAAATAGATATTAGCACAAAGTTGGAGGAGAAGAAATGAAAAGTGTAACATAAAAATTTCTCAGAGGAGAGAAAAATATGAGTCTTTAGGCTGAGTGACCGACTGAATAGAAAAAGAACTATAGGGCCAGGGATTTAGCTCAGTGGTGCTGCTGCCTGCCTCACAAATGCAAGGTCCTGAGTTGGATCCCCGGTACAAGAAAAAAAAAAAAAGAAAAGAAAAAGAAAGAAAAAGAAAAAGAACTATAAAAGATAGACTCATAAAAACTCAAAATAGAAAGAATAAAGTGCTTATGTGTCCAACAAGGATAACAGGAATGAGAATTCTAACGTAGTAGCACAGAATGCTGCAAAACAAAATGGCAACATCCTCAGAGCTAAAAAAAGAAAAAAAAAGGAAGAAAGAAAAAAGAAAATAATTTTGAATCTAGCATTCCATATGCAAGTGAACTTTTTTACACTAGGGACTCTGAAGATTTTGTTTGAAGATGTTCAACTCAGGACCTTCCACTTGCTAGGCAGGAGCAGCGCTACTGAGCTACATCCCGGCAACAACCATGTTTACCATCAGAAACATATGCACACTTTTAACCATTAGGAGCAGGGAAATGCTGTGGTTGTTAATAATTTACCAACTCCTTAATTCTCTTTGCCTTCAATCTCTGATTTACTGAAAAAGTTTCAAGCAGACAAGGAATTTACTAATCACAACTTTTGTGTGTGTGTGTGTGTGTGTGTGTGTGTGTGTGGCAAGGTCTCACCATGTAGGTCAAGTTAGCCTTGATCTTACTTATGTAGCCCAGGCAGGCCTTGAACGCATGGTGATCCTCCTGTCACAGCCTCCTGAATGCTGGGATTACAGGCATGTGCCTCCATGCTCGGCCTACACACAACTTTCTAAGGAAATGCAAATCATTCTTTTTAAAGAGATAATTATTTGGCCATATTTAATACCTCTTCCTCTCTTCAAGTTCCCCCTTTTCCCAGTGCTTTATAATTTTATTTATTTATTTATTGGTACTAGGTATTGAACTCAGGACCCTTGCAATTATGAGGCATGTTATTCAATGTTCTGAATGTTTAGAGTCTAACACACTCATGAAAAAGGCCCTACACTTTTAGGGTTCGTTTATCAACCAACATCCAACAAACGTTGAATTCAGCATGAGTTTCAATACATGCTGGGTCCTATGCTAGGCACACAGGCCAGCCAGGAAGAGACTGTTCTTTTCCTCCCCCAGAATCTGGCAAAACTTACTAACGGTCCCTATCTCGGGGTATTCACCCAAATTCCATCTTCTGTGATTATGCCCCTCCTCTCCTTTGATTTCCAGCTACTGGAGATTATAGGTATGTATTCTCATTGAATGAGAGAAACTAATTTGCCTATCTAAAATCCTGCTTAAAGATTAGGACAGATAGGGAAAAAAAAATCCCTGAAAGAAACAGATGGTGGATTTTATGAGATAATCAGAACCTTGAGTCATACAAGTCCTCTTCCTGAGTTAATTAGTGCAGCTGACTGGGAGCTTCTCCCTTGTTACTCCTGGACTTTCTCCCATGTCCCTTGTCCTCGCCATTATTTTTTTACTCAGGCTTAATACTATGCACACTAGTCTTAAGAACTGTCTTCAACAGTTCTCTATATGTAATCATCCTGACTCAGAATACTCTGGGAAAACAGAAACTCTATTTCAGGTCCAAGTTTTGAGAGTTGAATGATGGTTGGATTGCTTGTATGGTCAAAAAGACATATTATATAATTCATTTTCACCTTAAAATAGGAGCTTCCTGAATTAGTCTCTTGATTTATTAGACCAGTTTGAAGACAAGTATTTAGGTGTCCACTTCTCAAATACAAAAAGATAATAGTAGTCTGACTGATTCATTACCCATCATTTGTGTTTAGGAGCCCAATATCCATAGGAATTAGGGACTGGAGATGTAGCTCAGTGTTACAGAATTTGTCTACCATGTTCAAGACCTTGGGTTTGATCTTCAGTACTGGAAAGGGGTGGGATCCACTGAAGTAAGAGTCACCATTCTTGTGCAAAAATCAAGCTACTTTGACCAAGGAATATGGCAAGGCTCCAGTGAGGCATAGGTCAGGACTAGAACATGGATTTACCTGACACAGCAGCAAAAGCTGGTTAAAAAAAAAAAAAAAAGCAACACACTAACCACCACCAAGCAAATGGCTCTATTGTACACCAAGAAATTTGTTTGAAAACACGAGTTACTTACCTGTTTAGCAAGGTAAAACTTAGTTATAGAAGATTTCTTGGTCCTGGATCTATATCCATGGAGAAGCTGCCAAGGGGCCAGGAGCCAAAGGAAGCACAAAGGAATCCATACAAGAACAGTTTGCTCAAAACAAAGTGTAAGGTCTGCATCTGGTCTGTCCAGCAGTGAGGAATTCTGCAGGGGCACAAAGGGAACTGTTGGATATTTGTGTTTTTTAAAAACAAACTCATGCCTCAAAACACTTCACCTGCTTCAAGCAACTTAAATTTAATCCCATATCCACATCCAGTTTTGTCTCCTAACTATCCATATCATCCTGTTCATCCTCATTGGAAAAAATTAACCATTTAATGACAGTTAGACTTTTCTGGCCAATCTAACCTCTAAAACCAATATTCCTGAATGAACTTTAAGTGAACTTCTATAGCAGCTATTTTGGCTAGTTTGAGTAAAATTCACTGTGACATTTGCAATGTTGAAGGAAGAAAAAGGAGGGTTCCTCAGTCCAAAGGGGAGACTAGTTCCCTGGACAGAAAATCTCATTCTTGTTTAGTTTCTGCTACTAACTGAACACACTGGCAGATGTTCAAACATGTGTGCACCAGACAGGCAGAAAGATTAGTCATATTATGACATTTACTGCTAATAATACTATTTAATATTATCACCTACTATGGCCTGGGAGGCTTAAATCAAAACCAAGGGGGCCTGACCCTTTTGGGCACAGAAGCAACAACAGCATGCTGGGCATTGCTGGATAGAACAGTTATTCCCAGCAGTCTTTGACGCTGCACTAAATGGAAATGTCTTGTGAGGTGCTGTGGGGAATACCAGTTCTTAGTCTGAGTCAAGTGAGGGTAGATTTTCCTCTTCCTATAAACATTTTTAATTTTTTGTTGACTATTGAGAGTCTTTTTTTTTAAAAAAAGGTAAAGGTTCCTTGACAAAACGATTTATCAGATAGTTATAGAGAAAATTCTCAAGAGAAGACCTGTCAAGGTAGTGAAGTCTACTAAGCCCCACCTTCCAGTGGTATCTGTGTCCTGGTCTGAGGGCTCTGGGGCCCAGGTTCTTCCTAACAGGAAGGGCTATTCCCTATTCTGCTATCTCATTCCAACTCCTCTCATCTCTACATAAAGTTATGCAACTTTAGGCTTTAAAAGACTTACCTAAGATATTTAAACTATGTTAATGACCCTAGGTGATTCTGATTCTGACATTGATGCTATGGAGTTTGCAAATGGCCACTCTCAAAATCACTAAATCCAAGGTCTTTTCTCATTCTCTATTCACTGAGCTAAGTGATATTGTTGATTGCCCTGTCCTGAAATTCTCTATCTCTGGCTCCCTGATTCTTTTTTAAATACCTGATCTCTCTTTTAGTAATGCTTCTTCCTCTCCCTCTCTAAACCAGTATCGCCCAAATCTCATGATTCAAAAATTATCTCACTGCTCATAATGCACAGATTTGCATCCCTAGTCTCAACTTTTAGTCCATGTGATTAGTTGCAAGTTCCTGTAAAATATATTATTATTTCAACATCAACATATCTCAGTAAGACTCAAATCAAAGACCCTCTCCTCTATCTCCTATGCCACAAAACATCCAACAACAATTCCTGTTCTTAACACTGAGGAAATTGGAACTATTTTTCTCTCTATCTATAGAAAAGGCAATTTTTCAGCTAGCTAGTCCCAAAAGTGAGTTTAACACAATAAGCACATGTTAAAGAATAAATTAGATTATCTTTTCCAGATGGTATAAATCGTCTTTCCTAAAAAAAGATATTATAAATTGTCTTTTCTAAAAAAAAGCCTGAGCTTTAGACCAACTGCCCTTCTAATCTTTCTGGTTCTTGTTGGCGGCTTTCAGTAACCTACCATTTATTCTGTTTTAGATGAGTAAACAGTGAAAATAAAAACAATTACTCACCCAAAAAGTAGAGTTGCAGAACTTGTCCACCATGTCTCTTGGAGCACTTCTGGAATGAAAACTCCTCTAGGATGGTGTTTTTTCTTTGCTCTCCGCAGGACCAGAAGGTGGATGGCAAGTAGCAATGTGTTATTTCCCCCTCTGATGTTCTGATGTTGTAATTAAAGGCAGGTCTCCTGACCTTTCATCCCCACAATTTAATAGTTAACCTTGCCTGGAGACATGCTTACCTTATTCCAATGGATAAGGCATGTGACTGAGAATTACCAGTGACTCTTAGACTCATAAATCCCCAAAGTTCCCAAAGACTGTAATATGGCCAAGTATAAAAGGAGCCTCTGAGAGATGTGGGCAGAGCTGGCTGGCAAAAGGACTGTAGTATACTTTCGGTCTTCTAGGGATCCATGAACTACAAAAGGGCAGTGTGTTAGTAACTTTTCTCATCGCTGATACAAAAATACCTGATATCCAAAGTTAAAGGAGGAAAGGTTTCTTTAGCTCACAGTTTATAGAGGTTTCGGTTCCTAATCAGCTGGATCCAAGGCAGGGTAGATGGCAAACAGGCATCCCAGAGCAGAAGCAGTTCATGGAAGGCAGAAAATAGCAAAATGAGAAAAGGGTGACAACAGCTCTTTACACCCCTTGTATCTTATCCAGGCTACTTAGGGTGAGCAGCACTCGCACCCATAATCCTATCCCAATGTCACACACTCTAGATCCAGCCACCTCTGAAAAAGTCCCACCTATGACTGCATGAGGCTTTAGGGGACATCTAGACACAGCCATAACAGGCAGAAACAATAGAAAGACATGTATTGTTAAACAAAATTTCCTTTTTTAAAAAGGTCTTGGAGTTTATAGAAATGAGAAATATCTACTTATCTGGATTTTTAATTAACATACAACCTGGCCAAGTATGGTGTGCAAACCTGTAATTTCAGCACTCTGGAGGCTGAGGCAGGAGAATTGCCTGGGTAGTTAGTTCAAGGCCAGCCTTGTCAACTAGGTCACTTCATGAGACCTTGTTTCAAATTAACCATAAAAAGGTCAGGTGATATAGGCCAATATAAAGGTCTTGGTGTAACCAGTACTACAAAATGAAACTTTAAAAAGTTATTTTTTTTTTCCTTTGAAGTCAAGTGGCTTCAAATTTCCTCAGGCCTAGGGCATAAATAGCACCTCTACCTCTCTACTGCCCAGAGGAACGGAAAGAATGTAAAGATCCTGGCACCAGGAGTTCAAGCCAAATTTCATTCATTTTTCATTCCCTGGTCCAGGAAAGGATGGAAGTAGCCTGAAAATGTTTGTTGTTCCACCGTACCCCCTCCCTCACTGTTCCTGGTCATAAAAGACCCCACATACCTGTGCAGAGTGAGATGGTGATTTGAGGCGAATGGGCCTGTCTGCCTCCTAGGGCCTAGGTTTGAATACCTGTAAATCCTTTTATCTTTTCCCCAAATATATGGCCTCCTCTGATTTGGTTAGCAGCAAACAAATGAACATAAGCAGATGAACCTAAGTAGCCAATAGCACTAAGTTCAATCTCAAGTATAAAAAAAAAGCATAGAATTTAAAACCATGATTAAAACTTGCATAAACTTTGTTTGAAAATGTTAGTATGAAAGCATATATATGGCTCACGGGGTTGTACATAATTTTTTATTGTATTTTCTATAATTATCAGGTGTTATTTGTATGATAATATTTCAAAGCAATTAATGTTAAAATACACACCAAAATGTTTCATCTTAGTCATTTCAAACTCAACAATTCAGCAGTGTTAAATAGATTCATATTCTCCAGAACTTTACATCTTGCAAAACTTGAACTCTATGCCCATTAAACAAAAACTCCCTATTCTCCCTTCTCTCAAGTATAGCACATGTTGTATTAATACAGGGCATCTTAAATTAACAACGAGACATACCAACCATCATAATAAAGTATAAACACCATAATGTAGAACCATTTTAGTTATCAGCACAAATGAAAAGTTTTGAAATTATATATCTGAACTCACATATGCTATTTTAAGATTATTAAAAATTAAGACACTGTTAATGTTGCTAATATTATCATCAAAATGACCCTTTAAAAATTCTGTAAGGAATTCAAGGATGTGAGAGAATTCAGGGAGAAACTTGAGTTTCTTATGTCTCAGATATTAAGCCTGATTCAACTCTTTTTAAAATTGTATTTACTTTTATTAGAACATATTTACAGTACATAATGATTACATTCTTCATGTGGAGTTGGTACATATGCATAATGTATCTTAATTCATTTTTTCTGTCTCTTTCCTCTCATTTACCTCTCTATTCCCTGCATCTCTTGGTCTCCACCCCTTTTGCAAAAGTTCAATCTCCTTGTTTCCTATTACCAATCTTTCATTTTGCTATTTATTTGTATTTTGGGTTTCTCAAATAAGAGAAACTATGATACTTAAGCTTGTATGCCTGATTTATTTCAGTTAATATTATGGTCTCAAGGTACATCCATTTTCCTACTGTAAGGTGAGACCAAGGCATGATTGAGACCACTGAGGCAGGCAAAGTCTAAGCAACATGCAATGAGTTTATTGCCATCTGGGTGCAGATGAGCCAAGGGTAAGAAGGCTGTTGGTACTGAGAGGAGGGTGCTCGTGTTTATATGGGACATTTTAGATAGGGGAGGGGGCACTGGTTGATGAAGTGGAAAATTTTAGAGTCCCACAGGTGAAGAGCCTGGGGCTAGCTGATAAACAGGGTGGTGGTGAGAGCAGCAGGATGGCTGCTGGCTCTTTGTTATTTCTGTGCTCCTGTGGATACAGGTAGTGGGTCTGCTTCAGTGGGAGGGGGTCTGACCCGGAGGGCTGTCACCTACAAATGACTCAAGTTTCTTCATGGCAGAGTAGTTCTCCATTGTGTATAAATACCACATCTTTAAATCTATTTATCTGCTGATGGATACTCTACATTTGTAAAATAACTTGAAGTCCAGGTTGGGATGCTTCTGGCTTTACTCTCGTGCATAGGAATTGTTTTTGTCATTCTGGGTCTCTTCTGGTCCCATATTAATTTCAGGATTGTTTTCTCCCATTCTGTAAGCTGTTGGCATTTTGAGATTCTCTGTGTGTGTGTGTGTGTGTGTGTGTGTGTGTGTGTGTGTGTGTGTAATACATGGCTTTTAACAAATTGAGATAAAGTTCTTCTATACCTATTTTCTTCTTTTTTTTTTTGGTACGGGGAGTGAACTTTGGACCTTGTGCTTGCAAGGCCAGTGGCAGCACCACTGAGCTAAATCCCTGGCCCTCTTTTTTTTTTTTTTTTTTTTTTAATCCTGACTAGATGTTGGATTTTATCAAAAGCATTTTGTGTGTCTACTGAGATGATTATGTGGATTTTGTTATTGCTTCTGTTTATGTGACACATTACAGCTATTTATTTGTATATATGGAGCTATCCTTGCATCCTTGGAATGAAGCCTACTTGGTCATCACCAATCCTTTTGGTGATTTTTTTGCATTCTGTTTTCAGTGTCTTGCAGAAGATTTTTGAGTCTATACTCATTAAAGAGATTGGGCTGTAATTTTTTTGTTGGTTTTTTTTTTGTTTTTGGGGGGTTTTTTGGTTGAATTTTTGTCTGATTTTTAGAAAAAGGATAGTGGTAGCTTCCAGGAATAACTTTGGAAATACTCCTTTCCTTTCAATTTCATTAAAATCTTGAGGAGTATTGGCATTAGATCTTCCCTGAAGTTTTTGTGGAATTTAGCAGTGCATCCATCTGGATCTGGGATTTTCTTCATTGGTAGATTTTTATTACTGCTTCAATTTCATTGCCTGTTATTGGATTAGTCAAGGCAACAATCTTCTTGGTAATTCTCTTTTTGGTAATTCTTAAGTATCTAGGAATCTAACCATTTATTCCAAATTCTCCAATTTTCTGGAAAACAGATTTGCAAAGTAGTTGCTAATAATGTTGTAGATCTGGGGAGTGCCTACTGTGATTTCACCTTTTTCATTCTTAGTTATGTGGATTTGGGTGTTTTCTTTCCTTTTTTTTTTTTGTAAAATTGGCTACGGATTTGTCTATTTCCTTTATTCTTTCAAAGAACCAGCTGTTCAATTCATTGTTTCTTTGTATGTTTTTAAAGTCTTGATTCCATTTATTTCTGCTCTAATTTTCATAACTTGTTTCCTTGTACTAGGTTTGGGCCTGGATTAGTTTTATTTTTCTAGGAAGTTTAGGTGCATCATAAGGTTATTTATTTGGACTCTGTTTTTGTGATGTGGACATTCACAACTATAAACTTCCCTCTTAGGATTGTTTTCATTGTGTGCCATAAGTTCTTGTATGTTGTACTGACATTATTGTCTGATTCTAGAAATTATCTAATTTCTTTGTTGATTTCTTCTGTGACCCATTGATTATTCAAAAGGATATTGTTTAATTTCCATGTGTTTGCATAATCTATCATTTCTTTTGCCATTGCTTTTTAGTTTCATTGCACTGTAATCTTATAATATACAAGGGACAATTTTGATTCTTCCACATTTATTTAAGCATGCTTTGTCAGCCAGTTTGTGGTCCATTTTGGAGTAAGTTCCTTACACTGTTGAGAATTTTGTGTATTCTGTTCTTCTTGAGTGGAACACTCTGTAGATATCTACTAAGTCCATTTGTTCAAAGTGTGGCTCTCACTCTGATATTTCTTTGTCAAGTTTTTGTCTAGCTGATCTATTTGTGATAGTGGGTATTGATGTTCCCCACTATAGCTGTGTTGACTTTTATCTGATTTTGCATGTCTAGCAGTGTTCATTTCGGGAAGTTGAGTATGTCAGTGTTTGGTGCATATCTGTTTATAACTGTAATCTTTTCCTGTTGAATTTTCTTAACCAATATGAAGTGACTGTCTTTACCTCTTTTTTTTTAGATAGGGTCTTGAACTCAAGGGAATTCTCCTGCCTCGGCCTCTCCAATGCTGCGATTACAGGCATGTGCCACCACGTCTGTCTCGTCTTTACCTCTTCTGATCACTTTTGGCTTAAAGTCCACTTCTGGAAATAAGATAGCTACTCCTGTGAGGCACATGAGGTGGTATGTCCGGGGAGGTCCCCATGCTTCAAAATAATGCCCACGGCTGCCACGCAATCATGCAATGGCGAGCGCTTGTCCTGGGGCTGG